CAGAATCCAGCCCCCGCTGCTGTGGGGACGTGGGACCCGGGCCTCGGCTGGTGTCGTGCACAGGGTGAATCACCGTTGTTCTCCCGGCTCCGTGCAGAGCCAGCTGTGGCGTCTGCCCCCCCAGGGGCCGTGCTCCATGGTGGAGCCAATAAAAGGGGAGCCATAAAGCTCTCTGTAAATTATTGCCTCCGCTAACTGCTCCCGGCGACCTTTCCGCACCTGCTCCTGCGGCTGGCAAAGAGGCGCGGCGAAGCACAGACCGGAGTGGCAGGGGGGGGTCCGGAAGGGGGCAGGCCGGCAGCCCACGCCCTGACGTCAGCGGGGCCCGGTTTCCAGCTGGCGGGGTGTACTCTGGGGAGGCGTTCGGATAGCACTGAAAGGTTGCTCCACCGGGCTGCCTGTGTGTGTGTAATACTGCCACCCCGACCGCGAGCGATCTCGGCCTGGCGCCACCCAGCCCCACTCTCCACGCTGCCCCCAGACCCAATGCAGCCTTGGCCCCGGGCTCTTGGCCCCTGCCCTGGCACCAACATGCTGATGCACCTGTGCACGTCACCCGCATGCCCGCCTGCTGGGGGTGGGTCCCTGTCCCATGCAATGGCATGGGGACCACTCACGGAGAGAGGAGGCGTTTCCTCTGCAGCCTCAGCTGAGAGCCAGCTGGCTTGTAGCTCAAGCTGTAGAGCAGGGGTGGGGAACCGAAGGCCCGGGGGCTGGATGCGGCCCCCAGCTTGCCTGGATCTAACCCCTGAGGCTCAGGACTCCCCCCACCCCCAGCATTGGGGAGCTCACGTTGTGGGGCTGGAGCACGCAAAATCTACTAGCCTGGGCCCCCCTAGGCTCTGGCGTGGAAGGGGAACGTGGGGAGGGCCTCTCAGGGGCCACGTCAGTGAGGGGTTGGGGTGGTTTTGTTTGTTTCTCATTTGTGTGCGGCCCCCAACTGATTTTGACACTAAGCTCCAGAGGTTCCTAGTTTGGTCCCGCCTGGCGGCATTACAGGAACTCACTAGCAGCCCCAAGGGAGCAGGGGGTTGGCTGGGGGGGATAAATACACATTAAGCTCCCTTTGCACGAGTGGCCCTGCTCCTTCGTGCAGCTGCAGGAGGCTCTTGGGCCTCTCCTATGAGACTAGTGGTTAGTGGGGGTGCTGAGCACTCAGGTTACCTGGCCAGGGTGGGCGCTGAGCACTCGGGTTACCTGGCCAGGGTGGGCGCTGAGCACTCGGGTTACCCGGCCAGAGTGGGGACTGAGCGCTCGGGTTACCCGGCCAGGGTGG